CCCCCCCCCCCCCCCCCCCCCGCCTCATGCCCACCCACCCCCTCATTTTGGAGATCGCGATCTACCAAGTGCCAGAGCGATTTGCTGCTACAGGTGGCAGGCTCTTGCTTCCTTGCCCAGTTTGTATCGATCGGCTGCAAAGGGGGACGGGACAGGGGCTACAATAAATATATAAAGCGATCAATTCCTCAAACAAAAAGGTCTTTCGCCAGACAAAAACAACAACCATGCGTCGCCCTCTGGCACACTGCCGTTGGTGCACACGGCACCCGCATCGACGAACACCAACAGACCGCGGTGAAATCCATCCGCGTTTGGCCTCTTTCCGACACGCAACAAACCGAAACGCTTGTTTCTCTTAGGCAGCCATCTATCTGCCAGTATTCAAACAAAGTCGGAGAAGCAACTCGTTATCGCGGCAAGCGCCGGTCCATGTAGCGCAGCACTACGTCAACCGCGTCCGACGCCGCCGCCGCCTTAGCCCGCGGCATGCCCCGCCCGCAGAGGGCCGCACCGAGCTCGAGCGCCCCTCCTCGCAGCGCCAGCAGCTGCTCGACGGACCACCCGCGGGTCCTGGCGGCGACGGAGGCGCGCGTCTCCAGGAGGCGGGCGCAGGCCTGCTCGCACGCCCGCTTGGCCCGCTTGCGGTCGGCCTTGGCTTGCTGGCGGGTCGCCGCCGCCGTGGCCGCCTTGACCACCTCCTCTGCCGCCAGGGCCTCGGTTTGCGCCTTCGCTGCCGCCGAAGGAGCTCCGTTCGACGATGATGATGATGACGATACCGCCGGAGGGTCCACGGCTACCATCGCCGTCGTCGCCGCCGCCGTCATCGCCGCAGTCGCCGTGGCCGCCAGAGCCGTTGCAACACCGTCCTCGCAACCGCCATCACCCCCTGCTGGGCCTCCAAGGGACGTCGAGCCGCTGGTCTGGCTTGATTGCGTCGGCGGCCCGGCGTCCACAGCAGCCGCCGCCGCCGCCGCCGCCGGAGCGTCTTTCATGAGCGCGTCCCCATCACCATCTGCCGCAACCCCAAGCGGGAACGCTTTCGCCGCCGTTACCGGCTGGGTGGGGTCCTGATGCCGGCGTTGTTCCAACCCCGCGCCTCCTGCTGCTGCGTCGGCAGCGACACTAGGAGCGGCCCCGCTTGGGATCGAAGCGGCCCCTAGGTTGACGTTGGCGGCACTGCCGTTGGCGGCGGCCTCGGGAGACGGGACCACGAGCGCCGGCCGCGGCTCCTCC